CTTTGTGACATTATTTTCATGACAATTAAGCACATTTTCTTCCAAAATTATAACTATCATAATGTAATCAGACACTTTGACCCAATTTTTTTTTTTTTTTTTTTTTTTTTTTTTTTTTACAGTATTTAGAGTAAAAATGCTAATTTAAATTTAACAACATCAAAGACAGTACAACAAATACAATCATGACGCAAAAATATATTTTTACTATTTAAATGATGAATCATATGAATAAACGCATCATTGTATAATTACAGTAATGATATTTTTGTCACGTCACAGTAAAAAAAAATTATTGCAAATTTGTGCTGTCATAAACTGTCATCTTTAGATTTTGGTGTGTGTGTGTGTGTGTGTGAGTAAGTAAGTGAGTAAATAAATAAACAAATAGCCTTTAATTACTCATGTTAAAGTCATCCGTCTGTCACCTATACCACTAGAAACAAAAGTGCAATTGCAAGTTTTGCGCAAATCTGTAATGGAAACCAGGCTATTGTGTCGCATTAAGAGAATCTCTCCGCTTTAACTAAACATTACTGAAGACCTTCAGCAGACGCTGCAGCGAGAGAGGTGGACGGGACAGTTATCAACCCCTCGATGAAGAGAATCAGAGCGAGTGAGGACAGAAGACACACAGAGGGCCCTCAAGAAAGATACATCAAATCAGTCTTTCTGAACTCTGACACTACCATTCTATCACATCCACAATACCAAATCATTTCTCTCCCTCATCTATCTTCCCTTGAACTATACTTTCAGACTGTTTCCTCAATAAAAGTTAGGGTGTTATAAGGAATATCTCAGTTAAGATGATGCAGACAGAGTCTTTTCTGTCATAACAGGGCACTGGATCACTCTAGGATTCATTTCAACCCATTCAAATGTGTCACAATCAATCTTGAAACATGCAAGAATCAGCATTTGACGCAACAGCAGCTTGGTAGTAAAAATAAATAAATAAAACAATAAATATCTGGAATATAATGAGGGTTAATCTTTGTCTTTGTTAACATTTGTTAATGTATTAACTAAAATGAAGTAACAATGAGATATACACGTGTTACTGTATTTATTAATCTTTGTTAAAGTTGGTTAATAAAAATACAGTCAATCATTGTTTGTTCATGTTAGTTCACAGTGCACGTTAACAAATACAACTTCTGATTTTGATAATGTTTTAGTAAATGTTGATATTAACATTAACTAAGATTAATAAATGCTGTAATTCATTCTTAGTTCATGCTAACTAAAATAGTTAATAACTAATGAAAGCTTAACGTAAAGTGTTACCTTTAAACTACTATTCTTACATTTTTTTAAAAGAAATTAATACTTTTATTCAGCAACAATGCATTAATATGCAAAGACACAAAAATATGGAGCAGCACAACTGTTTTCAACATTGATAATCAGAAATGTTTCTTCATATAAGAATGATTTCTGAAGGATCATGTGGCACTGAAGACATAATGATGCTGAAAATTCAACAGTATTTTAAAATAAATTCACATAGAACACAGAAATTTGAAATTGTAAAAATATTTCACAATACATCTGTTTTTTGTGTATTTTTAATCAAATAAATGCAGCCTTGCTGAGCCTCTTTTTTCAAAAACATAAAAAAAAAAAAATTGTACTGACCCCAAACTTTTGCAAGCAAAACAATTGGCTTTATGCACAGCTTCACTACTTCCTGAACTTCAGCCAGCTCCTTTGTTTCCTGTCTGCCATTATTGGACAAACTAATTAATTCAGGTGTGCCTGGCCTCAGTAACAATAATCAGGCACACCTGGATTAATCAGTTTGTCCAATAATGGCAGACAGGAAACAAAGGGCTGGCTGAAGTTCAGGAAGTAGTGCAGCTGTGCATAAAGCCTATTGCAATCCAAACAAACACAACTGAAGGGAAACTCCAACAGTAATGAAAGCCTCTCATCGACCAAAAGCATCTAAATCATAATGTCACCTGTTGCATGAAAATGCCTTCAAAGATTGGTTTTGGAGCAGAGCTACAGACCTTCATAAGACACAAGACCGCAGCATCTACATCACTGCATGACAGCAGCATTAATCATCCCAGTTCACACTGTAAAACAGTGACTGATCATCCCTGTGTCACTGTACAATCCAGCACAATAACCTCTTATCTCTGAAAGACTCATCCACAGTCCCTCTCAGAGCCACGTCCTCTGTCTATCTCTGATATCCTCCAGTGTATCGCTCCGTTGATAAGCACAGACTGCAGCTTCACAGGGGAAGGTCAAGTGATGAAAAGAGAAACATAATCACTAAAACCAGATTTGTATATTTTATAAGGAAAATCACTCTCACTGGAAAGATGCTGAGGTGTTGTGGGGGGTTGCCGGGGTGTTGATATGCAGTTGCATAGGGAAAATGCATTTTAAATATATATACAACTGTGCATGCACTAATTCAATCTAGCTGAGTGTAAATATATGTTTATGTCCAGAGCTGTAGGAGGGGAGCAGCAAACCCCTGTTGCGTTCCCTCAGTGAAGAGCCACTATTGTTACCGTGACAGTGATGAAGATTTATGCAATGCCGACTGGATAGATGAGATTACAGAGCACTAAAAGTCACACGTCAGTGAACACAACCTCATAGCGACAGGTCGGGAGTCCTACTGGAATAATAAATAATAATAAAAAATTGTTTTGCTTATAGATGCTAATAGGCCAATACAGAGTTCCCACTGTACTAAAATGCAAAAAGCATGGCCTATCTTTATTTCTCAAAACAAACAAACAAACAAACAAATAAATTCTATTATATAAATATTAGTACTGTCAAATCAATTATTTGAATTATCATAAAAGTTTCTAAATATATAATAAATATTATATATGATACTAATAAATAATATAAAATTACATATAATAAATAAATAAATAGAATTAAAAATATACACACACTACCAATCAAAAGTTTTGAATAATTAAGATTTTTTAAATGTTTTTAAAAGAAGTCCCTTCTGCTCACCAAGGCTGCATTTATTTGATCAAAAATACAGTAAAAACTGTAATTTTGTGAAATATTATTACAATTTTAAATAACCATTCTCTATTTGAATATATTACAACTCCAGTCTTCAGTCACATGATCCTTCAGAAATCAGTCTAATTTGCCGATAAGAGACTTCTTTAAAAAAAAATATATATATATATATTAGGGCTGTCAAATGATTAATAAAATACAAAATAAAAGTTTTTTTTACATAATATATGTGGGTGCACTGTGTATAATTATTTTGTATATATATAAATACACACACATGCATGTATATTTAAGAAAAAAATATTATTTATATATAAAATATTTATATTTATATATAATATAAATTATATCTAAATCTATATACAGTATATACACGAAAATATTTCTTAAATATATACAAGCATGTGTGTGTATTTATATATATAAAATAATTATACACAGTGCACCCACATATATTATGTAAAAAAAACTTTTATTTTGGATGTGATTAATCACAATTAATCATTTGACAGCCCTAATATATATATATATATATATATATGTGTGTTCTTTTTTATCAGCATGTACACCCTGCTAAATAAATTCTTTGCCATTCAAGCCTGGAACAAACCCTCCTGCAAATAATTAACAGAGCGGCATCTCATGAATATGCTGAAGCGGATGACGCAGAACGCATCTGGAGGACGGATGCCTTTCATCTTAGTGTAGTGGGACAGCGAGATGCTCGCCTAAATCTCCTGATAATCCGCCTCAGCTTGTAATGAAAGAGATAAATCAGGACCCTGGACAGCGCTAGGCAGGGCTATAAGTGATTCAGCACCACGGACAGCAGAACATCCACATACCTGGAGCAGATTCTGGGTTTGGGTTTATAGGGTATTACGTGGACCTAAAATGCACAAATCTGTGGCAACAAAAGCAGGTGCACTAAATGTAGACTGAACAATAATCCAATGCTATAGAGGATGAAAACAGTGTAGGGAAATGACATTAAACACAGTGTGTGATGTATGTGCTGTGTGAAGAACTGGCTCCTGATAAGATCAAAGAGTCTAAACACACACCAACAGCTGCTGACGCCTGTTAAACACACTGATCGGATATCCACGTCTGATGAAAACGAGCATAACTGAGTGAAATCCAAATGTAATTGCATGACATTTCATTGTCTAAGGATGGGAGCAGCAAATGTCTGAGTGTCACGGGCAAAGAAACTGTTACAGAGATGGAGACTTATGCAATGTCGACATGATAGATGAGATTATACAGCAGTAAAAGTCACGGCTCTCTTCTGCTGGAGTCCTTCATACTGGAGAAATGAAGGATTTTTTTTTTTTTTTACATAAAATATGAAAATTTAATTAAAATGAAAAGTAATAAAATAAATTAGAAAAACAGAACTTTCCTATTCAACACCTCTAAAGTGGCAAGGATAAAATATTTAACTAAATTATTAACAATAATAATAATTTTTATAATAACAATAAAATAAAAAATGTCACAGCACTCTTCTACTTGACTATTAAAGTGACAAGGATTAAATAATAATATTAAATAACAATAATATATTACGCAATATTAATATAAATATAATAAAACAAATATTCCATAAACAGCTTAAACTTAAAGACCCACAGCACTGAATGCTACCTTATAGAATCAGGTTAAAAACAGTGAGACAGTGTAAAATTTTACGACGGCATCTACGAGGAGTTCTTAGAGCATGAGCCAGTGTGTGACGGCAGAGAGGTTCCCCTTCCACCGAAGCGTTCTGCTTCTGTGTGCCACGCTCGAAAACAAACCGTCTCTACATGTACAGACACAACTATAACAGCCTATTACTATTCCACTCACAGCAGCCATGCATATACAGGAGAGGACCTGTCATGGCCAGCAACCCGAGGCTCGAACCCTCCCTCCACCCGTACTGACCATCCCGTGGCAGCGTGTGTGTGTGTGTGTGTGAGAGAGATTCCTCCACTCACCCTGGCTGTTGGCGGCCCCCTCTGCCTCCTCGCATTCGGTCAGGTTGTTGACCATCCTGCCTCTCCAAATGCCCTCGCTCCCCTAAAACTCTTCTCCGCTCAGAGGAGAAAAGCAGAACAATGGCCAAACGAGGAGATGTGTGAGAAAAAGATGGACTGATTTGCCCACCTTCCTTCCCCTGCCGAGAGCTGTGAGGAAATCACCGGCCAACGAATCGAGAGATGCGCGTTTTTCTCCTCTGATTCTCTTCTTCTCGCGCTCTCCTCTCCTCTCTTGGCTGTAGCGTGACTCTCTCTCTCTCTCTCTCTCTCTCTCTCTCTCTCTCTCTCTCTCTCTCTCTCTCTCTCTCTCTCTCTCTCTCTCTCTCTCTCTCTCTCTCTCACTCTCTCTCTCTCGTAGGAGGAGGATACGACAGCTCAGAGCGACTGGAGTTTACTGGATGATTGAACATGCTCTCTCTCTCTCTTTCTCCCACACACTCGCTCATGCACATGGGTATCCGTGCACACACGCTCTCCTGCATACGTTCAGTGTAGTGGCTGACACAATGCTAACACAAAAGTAGTCAAATTAAAATAAAAACATGCAGTTGTCTAGGTAAGCAGAGTGATTTAAGCACACAGCTATGTGTTTTCAAACACACAGTCTCTAATAAAAAAGTCAAGTCTCTGTGATATTCTGGCCTGAGTCCCTCCATTGTAAGATTTCATTGTTGGATTTTTCCACCTGATGGATTTTATCGTGAAAACCTTAAGTCTGATCACTTAGTAAAGTAAACACACACACACACACACACACACACACACACACACACACACACACACACACACACACACACACACACACACACACACACACACACACACACACACACACACACACACACACACACACACACACACACACACACACACACACACACCTCTCCTGAGGAATCATTCATCTATTGGTTGTTTCCAACTGTAGGTTGGTCAAAATCCTCTTTCAGCCACTCATGTCATCAAATAACTGCATTCTGTGCCTGCAAATTTGTTTTGTAAAACATAATCAATGCGATCAGCGGGCTCACATCATTGGAGGCTCAGAGCAAACAGAGACGTGGAGACGGGAAAGAATAGAGTGGAAAATGGAGATAGAAGGAAAGAAAGGAACGGACACAGGCGCAAGCTGGAGTCTTTTATCCAAACGCTCCATTCAGATTCTCCCAGCTGATGCGTTTGGATCGTCTAGCTGGAGAACAGATGCACGGTTCAGAATCAGATTCCAGGTAGCCTGCAGTTACACAAAATCTATTAAGTGACCGAATTACGCGGCACTGAAGGACGCTGAGAGAAAGAAAAATGCATTTCGCCACGAGTCACAAAAACAATTCACATGCTTTTGAAAGACATTAATGCGTCTACATGAGAAGCGGACGCCCCCGGTGTAGACGGAGGGGATTATTTCCAATTACCACACACACACACACACACACACACACACACACACACACACACACACACACACACACACACACACACACACACACACACACACACACACACACACACACACACACACACACACACACACACACACACACACACACACACACACACACACACACACACACACACTTATAAATGATTTCTAATATCTACAGGGATCTCACACCATCCACTGGAACGGCACAAAATCTCTCATTCGGATGCAAGCTTATACGTCTCAAGCATTTGTGTATACGTTGGGTCCCGATGTCACCGAAGTGAGAATGAGACTGAAATTGAAGCAGTAACGAGATCACCTGTCTTGTTAATCTCAGGTGATTTCAGTCAAGTCACCAGGGTAATCGGCATTACTCATTTTCTACAGTAGGAGATGGATCCATATTCATGATGCCCGTTTATTTTTTAGTGCTTTAGGATTGTTTTTCGGTTTGGTTAAACTATTAAAAAAGAAACTTCACAAAAACACACTGCGAAAAGCTGTTACAACTTAGAGCAAATCCTCTTATTTTACATTGCATTCATAATATATCGTATTTGTGCACAAAAAAAGTAACATTTGTGATGGCGTCAAGAATAAAAAATACTGTCAATTTAAATCACGCTTTAATACAAGTCTGTATTTATATATAAATAATAAAATTACAAAAATAAAAAGGATCTTTGTACTAAAAACAACACCACATTTATTTTAAAAGTAGATTTTTTTTTTTTTTTTTAAATGAGGCAAAATACAATGCTACTGCAAACTGTATGTGTCAAACTCATAAATCACTTAATTTGAACTGAAAAAAAGTGTTTTTCACTTTTTCGCAATTCTCAGGGTGCCATAACATCATCACCAATATTAATACTTAATCCTCAACAATACTATTGATCTGACTGCAAGGACAATATTTGATGAGAAATGAACCGAGTTGGACGACAACATCATGCTTTCTGCAGAGCTGCTTTATAGGCGAAGTGAACTAATTTAATAATTGATGATCTTTACAACGGAACTGAATCAACACTGAACTGACTTCAGGAACAATGACACTTTTCTTTTCTTTTTAGAGCTGCCTTACAGCCGGATTGAACTCTGTTTGCATCATTAAATCATTAAAGTAACTGTAAAGCTGCCTATAAAAATAAAGGTGACTTGACTTGATTACAAAACACTTGATTTGCAACACATTCATATAAATGTATGGCTCTGGAGAGTGTGAAACACCTCTGTTAAATGAGATCACAAGCACAGAAGGACTGTCTGATGGAGGTTTATGAAGCGCCCTGTTGTGACACTCTCAAAACGACGCGTGCCTCTTCTTCTCAATTCACGCCACCATGCAAGACAAGCCACTCGGGCCAACTCAGCTGGAATGGGGCTATTTTTGGGATAAGAGCTGTCAGGAAGACTCTGTCGCGGGGAGGAGAGCTCACGTCTGAAATGGTCTGTGACCTGTAAGCACTCAATTACAAAAGCTGTCAGCGCTCGGCTCTCCTGAACGCACCTCTACTATACAGGCAGCGCACAAACCAAGTGGACGCCTCAACAGGGATGGAGAAGAGACATGCACTGTACACAGAAAACACATCTCATGACATATTTCTGTGTGTTTATACTAGATTTTTACCTATCAGAACAGTTTGATCAAGTCCGGAGCACACATTTTGCAATAGCAATAGTGGTTATTTAACACTATATGATTATGTACGTTATGCACTTGAAGTTGACCAGTGATACTTGTCAATCTACAGCACATTTAAAGCAAATTTGCTGGACGTTCAATTTTTACTTCGCGGCGGACAAAAATAGTGCCAACAAAGGCTAAAAACCATAATCTAAATATTTTGAATAATATAAATACAGGACAAGATATTGACCAAAAATGTGTGCACCTCTTGATGGAAATAACATCACAACATTTATTTCCATCAAGAGGTGCATCAGTTTTTGGTCGAGGTCTTGTATTGACAATGCAAGAGTCCAGCACTCTGTAAAGTCTCCTCCAGCACATCCCAAAGACTTTCAATGAATTTAAGGTCTGTGCCAATTCATGTGTGAAAATGATTCTTCATGCTCCTCCCAACCATTCTTTCACAATCTGAGCCTGATGCATCTTGACATTGTCCTCCTGGAATATGGCCATGATGTGTTTAAGAAATGAAAAGCTACACACTCCATCACTTAGGGTTAGAAGAACCGTTGCCAATCATATAACATGCTAGAAACATAATAATCACTGCAATAATGATCCAATCATTGATTCTTAAGCGTTTGCCTATTTAAATCCAAACAGCGACTTTTTTTGGCCGTGCAGCCGCCAGTTTCATTCATCTAATAGGCTGGCAGCTCAGGTCCTTATCTGCTAGGTGGATAACCAATCAAGACAAATATAAAGTGACATACCCAAAGACATCTGTGACAGAACAAGCTAGAGAAGAGCAGTGCTCCAGGTGAGGATGTCTTCCCCCAGGGCCTAACCAACCACTGACGATTGTGGGTCAATAGAGAGAGTTGTTGTACACAAAGCAGGGCAGGATCAGGTGGCGTTGTTACACAGCTGGGGTGGTCGGGCAGCTAAAGCTCAGTGGTGGTACACACACACACACACACACACACACAGTGACAGAGCAATGGCACAGGCCTGTTACATGATGCCATTTACACATCTGAGTGCCCTGCGGCATTAAGTCACAATCCCTGAATGTTGGTTCTGAATGTGTTTAAGTCAGAAAGACAGTTCAGTGAATAAGACCACGCGTATTCACGTATACGCAGATCCAGACAGTCGGAAGAATTTAGACGCTGATTTGGGAGAACAATCATTGGAATTCTTGAAATAACTGTAAAGCTTGACAAATAAAAATGGCCAGAAAGATCTTTATTTTAGTGGTGCAACAGATCAAAAAACTCACGGTTCGGATAATATTATGGGTTTTGAGGCACGGATCAGATCTTTTTTCAAAAAAAGTTTAAACATTATTAAAGATAAGTGAATGGTCAGTAAAGAAGCAAGAACAAATACACTAATTATAAGCAGATAAATACAATATAAGGTAACATTAATAATAATAACAGTATTATTCAGGAACGGAAATGAAATAATTTAATGTAAAATAACACTGCATAGTGTTAACTGTATACAGTAAATATAGATGTTAAAGCAATCTTTTGTTTTGTGTTTAACATTAATGATATAAACATCAGCAGGAATTTATAAGCTGCTGTCACTTTAAGAGCTAATGCACGGATCCAATACAATGATACGCATCTGATTTCTTTCTCAATTGTTCACGTTCACTTAAGACATAACCGGCTGTGCTTACGTGAATACTAGCCAAGACAGGATTTTTAGCATAATTTTGTGTGTATGTGTCCATTCAAGAGTAAGATGCAAAAGAGGAATCAATCTGGTGTTTACTTTCCCTCTATGATGGTTAAACTTTGCAATTAATCCATGAATCACATGCGTGCCGAACCATTGGGCCTGGTCTGTACTGATCACGGATCAACTGAGAACCATTACAGCCCTACTACATTTATTATATGCCCTTATACACCCATCCATTCCAGTCAAAATGACAGCAACATTAAAAAAA